CAAAATACCTTCATTGGGTGGGAAGCACTATTTTGTAACCTTTGTTGATGATTTTTCCCGAAGTGTGTGGGTGTATACAATGAAGAGGAAAGATGAAGTGTTGGAATTTTTTCTCAAATGGAAGATGATGGTGGAGAATCAAACAGGCATGAGGATCAAGTGTATTCGGACAGACAATGAAGGTGAATGCAAAAATGATCATTTCAATAAGGTCGNATTGATTGTGTCCGAGGAAGTAGGCAAAATTGGCCGAACCTCGTAAATTTTGATGTTCTTTTATCGTTGTCTTATATTGTCTTGTTTATTATTTAGTGATTGTCATAATTTTTGGTATAGTAGTTGTGACTCATTCACACTATATACATTTGACTTCCGCAACAATTATAAGTTTTAAAAGTTTTCATTTCTTTCATAGTTTCTGTTTCGAGTATAACTACGTCATATAAATTGAAATCAAACATAATTAATTACCTGATATTTCACTCTGTATAACTTAGCTGCTTGTGCATGAGCAAGAAGCAAGTGATGGGCAACTATGTAAGGCTCAGTGGCAGAGTTTCCAGCAATACAACCAATGGAGCATCTCAAAGGGGGGAAAATGCCTAAGTCATAACCAGTAAGGGCATAACCACTTGGCTCATTTATTGTTGTCCAAAGTTTTACTCTATCACCAAATTCTTTAAAGCACAACTCCACATAATCTCGAAAATCATAGCTACAATAATAATGTTACACACTTTACTATCTCTCTTCTTTTAGAAAAAAATTAAGAATAAAAGAAAATTTTGTTTTATAGAAGTGTTACTTACATAATTTGAGGGTTTAGAAAGCCAAGATACTCATCTTCAAGAACTTGAGGTAGATCCCAATGGAATAGGGTAACCATAGGTTGTATACCTGAATGGGTTTGTGGGAGAATTAAACGTGTTTTCGCCCCTTATTTAGTCGCAATAAGAAAAAGTTAAGAATTAAAAAATAAATGTATAGAGATAATATATTTGACCTTTAGCTAGGAGCTCATTGATAAGGTTGTTATAGAAGGCAATGCCCTCTTTGTTTACTCCTCTACAAGGCTTCCCATCTGAGACAAAGTATAAAAAAGAAGAAGATAAGATTCGTTAGTTGGGGAAATTATTTGTATAATGTCATTAATGCGAGCGATTACTACTTCCAATCTATGAGATTATTTGTTATTAAAGAATCAAATGGAGCCAATTGGTAGAAAACCATGCTGTTGCAATATTAAACAAAAAAGAATTCATATATCTAGCCACTTGACTTGTCAATTAACCAAATAATAACCACGTTTAGTTTCTAGATATTTTGTTTACTCTATCACCAAATTCGGGTTTTTGACAAAGTAGCTAGATATTTTGTTAACCAAAGGTTTACTGTTTTTGCTCATTTTCAATATTTTGAACTCGGGTTTGGCGATTTCTTGGGAGCATTTTGAGAGGTTTCTTGAATTAAGTCCCTTGTGCTTATTTTTGATCAATAATCTTGTTTCCCCATTTATTTTTCTACCTAGTTAGTGTGTATTTAAGGTGAAAATTGGGAGTTGGAGGCTAGGGATTTGAAGAGCTAGATTTGGGGTTTTGAGTGGTCATTTGAGGTCGGATTTTGATAAATTTGGTATGGTTGGACTCGTGAGTGAATGGGCTTTCGGATTTTATAATTTTTGCCCGATTTCGAGACGTGGGCCCGGGTCAACTTTTTAGGACGAACGAAATTTTTGTTAAAGTATTGATTTCATTAATTAGATGAGTTTATTATGGTTCTATTTATGATATGCAATTGCTTTTGGCTAGATTTGGGCCATTCAGAGCCAGATATTCGTGGGAAAGGCATTGTGACCGATTGATTGAGCTTGGTTCGAGGTAAGTGGCTTGCCTAACCTTGTGTGTGGGAAATCCCCTTAGGATTTAGTACTGTTTTGATATGTGAGCGCCGTGTACGTGAGGTGACGAGTACGTACACGAGCTAATTGTTGTAAAAACCCGATTTCTGCTAAGTAATAACCTGTTTCCTTCTTATTTGAGTTACATCAACATGTGTAGTATCCTGTTAGCTTAGAGTATCATGTCTACTTGCCTTAATCGCTTATCTGAACTCCGTGCAACATATTTAGTGAAATTTCTGCTTTTTCTTGATTTGTACTTTGTCTAAATTGTAGGATTTCGTGTTGTAGCTGTTAATTCTATTGTTTGAGCTGTATTTTTACTTTTGGGTCTACAGAACAGTATTTCGGGAGATCCCCCTTTACTTCATATTTACTTTGGGACTACCGAACGGTATTCCAGGAGATCCCATTGTACTGCATATTTACTTTGGGACTACGGAACGGTATTTCGGGAGATCTCCATGTACTACATATTTACTTTGGGACTACGAAACGGTATTCCGGGAGATCCCCTATACTACACATTTACGTTTGGGACTATGAGACGGTATCTCGGGAGATCCCCTGTTGTTATCTCTGTGTACTGAGCTGTTGTCTTCTATGATTTCATTCCTGTTAAATTTCAGTCTTTATTTTACTGCGGTATTTTATTCTACCTTGTTTTATTATATATATACCAGTAGGACCCTGACCTGACCTCGTCACTACCCGACCGAGGTTAGACTTGACACTTATTGGGTACCGATTGTGGTGTACTCATGCTACTCTCTGCATATATTTTTCGTGTGCAGATCCAGGTGCTCCTTATCACCCGCACTATTAGTGAGCCGGGACAACTTTGGAGACTTCAAGGTATATCTGTCGCGTCCGCAGACCTCAGAGTCCCGTTCTACTCTTTCCCATGTCCATTATCTTCTGTATTTTTCCTTTGTTAGACTCTGATGTATAGACACACTAGACTTTCCTTCTGTAGTTTGTGATTCACGATATTCCGGGTTTTGGAATTTCTGTGTATTTTGAATAGTTGGTTATTGTACATGCCAGGTGTCATGGTACCCAGTTATGTTGTTACTGCTACAGTTAATTATTAAATTTATATTTTCATTTTATTATTCCGCAAATATTAGGCTTACCTAGTCGTAGAGACTAGTTGCCGTCACGACGTCACATGGAGGGAAAATTGGGCCGTGACATACAACATGTTGCAATAAAGTAAATCTAACAGAGGTATTCTTACATGGTAAAACTCTTGACCAGGAGATGGAAAATCTGAAACCATTTAACCCTTCAAATTTCATCAGCTTTATGTCATCCTAAGGAACATTGAATAATAGGGTAGAATTAAAATAGAAGTTTAGCATTTAGAACCATGGATTTCCATTGGCAAAAACTTTCGTTTCCTTGGATTTTTGCTTCTTACTTTAAAATGCTTGAACTAATACCTTGTAGCGATGGTAAAAATCAAGGGCTACGTCACCGTTGCTACGGTCTGCTATCCTTTCTGCAGAAACATCAGGAAATAAAAAACAAAACTGTATAATTTATTTTTGTCGTAAATCGGATCCCTATATTTGCCAACTTAATTATTCTCACTGTGTCATTAATAAATAGACAAGAAAAAGATTTAGCAATGTTCGAAACAAGCTAAGAAAGAAACATAAAATGGATACAATGATGATCTTTGAAATTTGTTAGCTCACATCCAATTACTAAGAAATTTCACTTGGACGAACAATAAATAAATAAAACTAGAGATTTGGAAAGTTTCCCTTAACAAAGATTGCTACTAACAAATACTTGCTACTACATCTAAAGAAGTATTCTACCTTTATGATAAATACGAATTCAGGATTTAAACCTAAATGGTTCAAGCCTTCAAAATTCTTGATATTGGAAATAATGAAATATTATATTTTTAAAATTATGGATCGGATCGGAATTAAACTTTAATTTAGAGGGGAAAGGACATTAATTACCAGGATGATTGTGGGTAAAGGTATCCCAGATACTAGGACCTTTACCATCTTCATTTGCTGCTCCTTCATACTATGCAAACGTACATATATAGGCATTAGAACGAATTATATATGAAGAAAGGCATTAACAAAGATATTTAATACAAAAACCTGATAAGAAGCAGAGGCAGCTCCAAAGATGAAATCTGATGGAAAATTGCTTCTATTAAATGGAACTGAGATCTTATAACTTGGCACAGAAGAACTTGTGGGTACAAGCATCCCAATTAAGAGAAAGAAAGAGATCTGAAGCACCCCCATCACTTAATTATTAGTAGTATATGTTTCTAAGAATTCCATATTAAGTCCTTTATATATATAGATTGTGCCTAAAATATTAATTCTATTTTAATATCTCGTTTTCTTTTTAAAATTTTGACGACGTCAAAGATTGATTATATTATGATAAACCGTTCATGTGCTACAAGAATCCGTAATGCTGAGGAAGTGAAAACGGATTATTCTGTGTCCTTTTTCTGCTTTCTCTAATGAAGAATATCTATCGAAGTTGTGTTGACTAATTATGAGTAACATATTTGTAAGTGTTTGATTAAAATTAGTATCAGAAGACGGTATATGGAAACAAACCAGTTATTGTTTTGTGAATGTATCTATTTTTTTAAAACTAGTACTAGTATTTTATTTTTGGACATGAACTCAGTCTAACACATCAGCCAAAGGATAAATTAAATGGTAATAGCACTCCAGCTTTGATAAATAATCTGTTTGTGAAAAAGGACCGTCTTGCCGTCTCTCTGGAGTACAAAGGAAAGTTTCGCAGTAAATATACTGTATTGGAGTTCAAAATCTTCACAAAAAATTCATGGAGCTCCAAGAAAAAAATCATGAAGTTTGAATTTTTTTCAATTCAAACTCTATAAAAAAACTCATGAAGGAATTACTTTCTCAGATACCATCCAAAATTTTACCCATTATATTCTCTCGTATCACCATAAAATTACCCAATTATGATTTTATTTGTACATTTGAAACCATGGCGCTGAGGTACCACCCATAAAAAATTTCCTTGAATTCGAAATTGCACAAGTGGACCTCGTTGGGTTAGAAATGGTGCAACCGGAACTCTAAGGACCTGTCACGACCCAATTTAGGATCATGACTGGCACTTAGTAGCAACTTTGATAAGAATGAGCGATACTCAACATAAGTCTATAATAACAAAAGAATACTCATGATACTAAAAGAATGACTATGTAGCGATTCTAAGAGTTCAAAAAAAAGACCATAACAATAAATAAAATCTCCGCCCACGCGAACAAGTGCGAGACTCACCAAGAACTATCAACCCGTGCGCTCTAATTAACGAAATCCTCGCCCGCGTCAACTGCTGTCTCTGTAAAAAAATTAGCGGGGAATGAGTCGCTAACTCAGTGAGTAATAACACTTAACCACAACCGTTTTTATTAGGGACAAGTCAGAAAACATGCTAGTATAGTATACAGAAAATATCATAAGAATGCTCTTTCAGAAACAATAAATAATAATCAGTCTCATCATGTGTTTCCTGTGATATAAATCAATTGACAATTCGATAATAAGCTCGGTAAATACTGTGTAATATCAATATTCATGTTTGGGAGGTTTCAATGAATGGATCATGTAATCGGTATAACTGTGGACTTTTTCGCAAGAAATCAAATATAACGGTAGTCCCTACTAGAGGGAAATCAGTAACGGTATGCTAGTTCTACCTTTCCACTAGCGAGGGTTGTAACGGTAATCGGTAATTACAAGGTGCACCAGGTCTAACGAACCCGCCGTTAGCTACAGAATACTTCAAAGTCTACTCCCATTTATACTTGTCTCTGTAATCCGTATATACTAGTACGAAAATATTTTAAAACAATATTGAATATTTCGGTTCTTATCAAATCATGAAATTTCGTTTCGACAACGGTAAATCTTATCTCAAGTAACGATAAATCATATTCAGTAACAATGAGGATATTCAGAATAATGGTAATCATCTCAAATAAATATAGTTGTATCATATCAAGTAAAGAACTCGTCCCACATGCAAATTCAAAACGGTCGGTAACATGTTCATATTAAAATCATATGTAAATCATGCTAGTTGTAGAAACCTAAATTGTGATAAGATTACTACTCACAGTATTCCTGTCCAAATACCATGCTTGCCACCTCGAGCAATTCATGAGACTCCTTTCAATCAATCTATAATCGTCTCGTGTTAATTTCCTTGTGCATGCTAGCTAATTCATAACTAGATTGGAATACTAAACCCTCGGGGTTCATATTTGAAACTTAATTTGTCCAATTTTATTTACCCATGCCATGAGAAATTCAACTAAATCATAATTTAGCTTGCCCATATTATATAAAAGTCAAATTCATGGTCATGGGTTAGAGAACTACCTTTCAAAGCTTGATTCTCTATATATTTGTTTCCCTGCGTGAGGCGTTACTGAAGAAGAACCAAGAATTTCCTTGTTTCCTTTATTCTCAGATTCTTGCTGCCAAAATCCCGTTTCTCCAATCTCCCTTCAATCACGTCTCCTCTAATTGCAAGAGAAGGCTTTTGAAAGCTTCTTGAAGAGATGATCTTCATAGCTTCTGCCGAAGTTTAAATCTTTGGTTCTTCTCTTCTTTCTTCCTATTGTTCTTTTCTTTTCTTTTCTTTTTTTTTTCTTTTTTTTTTTTTCCCCATCCTTTGTATGAGTCTGCGTTGAGTACTCCTCGTGCTCCTTCACTCGAAAGAGAGGCACAAGTCTAACATTATTTTTGTTCTCAAAAGTGGCTGGTTAAAACTTTTCCCCCAAATCTCTTTAGCTTATTTCCCTTCCCCTGATGCTATTTACGTTTATGATGGGATAAGGCCCACTTGCACTCCTTTTTTTCTTCCTTTATTGCTTTTATAGTAATTAGGTAAATGCTCTTATTTTAATAAGGGGTATTACATGACCCGTTTGGACTTAGGTTCTCAAATATTTTTTGAAAAAGGTGATTTAGGGAAAGTTTAATTTAAAATTGAAAATGTATTTGGATATGAATTTTGGGATAAATTTTGACATGTTAAAATCTCTTTTTCCCTTCCTTCTTTGAGCTAAAAAGTCCCAAATGATCATGATTTGTCCCAAAAAAAGGTCTAAAGCTATATTTGGGATTTGAAATTTTGTTTTTCAAAATCTCCCAACAACTAGATTTAATTATTTCTATAAATAAATATATATTTGAATTTAATTTTCTATTTTGACAAAAAAACTTCCGAAACTTATGGCCAAACGCCTACTAAAAAGATCTCTTTGAGTTTGAAATGGTGTAAGTGGAACCTCAGAAATTTTTTATTACATAGGAATTGTTACAAGCAGAGCTCTAGAAAATTCTCCTTGAGTTCAAAACTTATACAAATAAAATTCAGCATGGAAGACCTCCAACACACTATAAAAATTTCGAAAATCCATCACGCTATGCTAAAATTTTACATATAAGGAGTTTTTGAACTCCAATACAATGTGTTGAAGTTTCACATATAAAACTTTAAAATTACACCATATTATATTGTGCTGACTTTTTTTAATGTTTTAGATAGAAGTATTTTGTCCAAATTTTGTTATACCCAAGTTTCAATGATGACAATAGTGCAAATCTAATCTAATCTACTTGATTGCAAGAAATCAGGATGACAATGCTAAATCAAAGAGAGTTAAAGGAAATCAAGATATCAATGCTATCAAAAAGTAAACAACATCAAGTGCAATCGTTATGGGAAGTCAGTTCGTAATTCAATGTCACGACCCAAAACTCTAACATGTCGTAATGGCACCTAACCCAACCCGCTAGGTAAGCCAATTAACTACTAACTAATTTTAATAATAATTAATAAAGCAATTAAGTAAAGAAAGATATGAATCTAATACATTCCCCAAGAACTGGTAGTACAAATCATGAGCTTCTAAGAATAGAGTTTACAAAGCGGAAATGAAATAAATACACCATCTGTTTGAAAAGTACATAAATAGAGTTTTATAGATCTAAGGCTACCATGAACAAGAGGCAGCTACAACCGGGACGCAGGTACATCTTCAAATCCAGCTCCCATCGAACACAGCAACATCAGCAACCAACATCTGCACGCAAGGTGCAGAAGTGTAGTATGAGTACAACCGATCCCATGTACTCAATAAGTAACAAACCTAACCTTAGGTTGAAAGTAGTGACGAGCTAACAGAAAGATCGGGTCCAACACCAATATTTCACAATAGTTCATAACAATATAGTATACGTAACAAAAGAGTATCTCAGAAATAAAAGGCTCAGTCCGTTCACAGTTCCAGAAAAATAGGCATTTCTTTTCAAGTATCTCAGTAAAAACCCAAATTTTTTACCGAAAAAGCCAAAAATACGAGTAAGTTTGAAAACTGTAATTTTTTTTTTCCAAATATCCTGTCCACAATAAATAAGATGTTTCATTTTCTTTCTAGATAGCAAGTGTAAAATACCTCTCTATGCCCACATATTAATGTGTGTAAAATATCATGAATGGCGTGATACCGTACAACATGAGAAAAATACATCTTTATGCATGTATGTCACGTATGTATGTCAATGCAATGTATTTTAGAGATGAACTTATGTACTGACACTCTCAGAGTACTCAATCTCACTTTCTCACACATTCCACTCATTATGCCCAATCACTCGGTATTGTATATGGCCAGTCCAGCCCAGGAAAGATCCATCCCGGAATATAAACATTAACTGATCATCAGTCACTCAGTACCGAATAGGGCCAATGCAGCCCGTAGAGAAGATCCATCTCCAGGTATATAGTACTTCGGACAAGATACATGTACAGTGAAGATCCAACCCTTAATAATATCAACCACGCTCACTGGGGGTGTACAGACTCCAGAGGGGCTCCTTCAGCCCAAGCGCTATAAACCGCACAGACAACTCACGTGCTGCATGGATAACTCACGTGTTGAAGGTTCAAAATTCTTTAAATTTATTTTGGGGTATGTTTTTGAGTAATTGAAGTCCGTTTGGAATTTCGAGTTTGAGAATAGTTCCGTATAGTGATTTAAGACTTGCACGCAAAATTTTATGTCATTCCGAGTAGTTTAAGTATATTTCGGCGCATTAGAAGCTAATTGAAAAACTTGAAATTCTTAAGTTTGAATCAATTTGGTTTGAGGTGTGATTCATAGATTTGATGTTGTTTTACACGTTTCATGAGTTCGAGCGAGTCCGTTTTATGATTTCAA